TGCTTGTTCCATCGCTTGGAAGAGCCAACCCAAGCCAAGGTCTCTCCCCTGTGGTCTTCCAACCCTCCTGCACCTCTAATCTGACCTCACCTTCATCTCTTCGTCCAGCTTCTGCTGCAGCTCTTCCACTTTTTGGGTGAGTTCGCCCTGCCCTGCCAGGGTCTTAGCAGAAACAGGAGAAGCCACCTGCCAGAGACACAGGGGGAAAGAAGTGAATCCCCATCCAGATCCTGAGGCCCAAAAGGCCCAAACCCTGACCCTTGCTCCTGGTGAGAAGGCCACTCACCACCAGAAGCTGCATCTGCTCCAAGACCAAACTGACCTTTCTCCTTACAGAGATTTCACTTTCTGAGTTTCTGGAGGATACAAGGACAGAAGCAAAGATTAGGAGAGGAAAACAGCTGAACACGAGGGAAGGAGGGGTTGATAGCAGGGAAGAAAGGAAACAAAGCTAGAAGGGAGGTGAGTGGCTCCACTGCTGGGCAGGCCCCCACTTACCCCTCCCTCAGGATGCCATAGATGGTGGCTTTCACATGGTCCACACTGCCTGGTGGGGCTGCCTCCTGCTGGTCTCGGAGAAGATCTGGAGTTGATTTGAACTGCAAAAATGTAAACCCAAAGAAGTAGGATGAATAAGCCTGGAGCACTGGGGGGGTTTGGATGGAGTAGGAGTGGCAGTCGGGAGACAGGCCCTTCAAGCACAGTGCACAAGCCTGAAGTGGGCTGAAGAGGCAAAACTGCTGAGGCCTAAGCGACAGGCCGGGGAGAGCTCCAAGTAGGATACACTTCCAACTCTTGTTGCAAACCAGATTTTCCTCAACCAGTTGTAAGCTGTCACAAGTTATTGTCACTCATGACGGTTAATGTAGTAGAATTTGTAAATGATTTTCTTTTAGAATGGGTTTAACTTTGTCTCAGAGTAAAGTCACTCCTCCACTCACTTGCATTCCTGAGTGGGAGACAAAGGTGGGAGTCTTAGCAAGAGCATCAGAGAGCCACTCCTATCCTCCAAGCCTGCCTTACAGAGGCCATAGACCTAATAAATGCTAGTGACTGAAGCGCAGTTAATGGTCAAGCAATGACAAGTAATTCTTATGAAGGGTGACTTCATAGTTCTATTTCCTTTAGAATCTTGCCCACAGAAATATCTTGTATGTGTGAATATCATCTATTAAGTGGAGGGATAAAGTGGAGAACAAAAGGTAGAGACTTTCTGCCTTAGGTTATTTGACTCAGCAAGGGACCCCAGGGCTGGTAGGTCCCAGTGAGAAGGGGCCAGAGGTTGGAAGTCACAGAGAGGTGGGATCTGACCTGCAGCATGGCAGGGTCCTGTGCTCTCCCCGCTGGCTCTTCAGAACTCTGAAGAACCCAGTCCTGGGTCTGACGTGAACGGCTAAAGCTACTGAGAGGGCCCTGGATCTGGGCTGGCTGTTTCAATCTGCCCACATGGTGGTCATGCTTTGCACTACGGGTCCAGTGGTTCGGTGACTGGCGCTCCCGTTCCTGAAGGGTGTCTCGAGGAAGCCGACTGTCCAGGCTCTGGCTCCGCTTGCGTTGTTCAGGGGGCAGCGTCCTCGTGCGGCGGCCAGTCCGGCCCTGGGCCTGACCCCCATGGTGACTGTCAAACTTGTTGATGAGTGAGTCCACTGAAGACAGGGGAGCAGTGTCAATGGTGCTCCCACTGGAGGCTCCTTGGTGGGCTAGCTCCCGCAGGCTGGTGCTCCTGTCATTTGGACCCAGGGGGGCAGGGACTGCCAATGAGGCCTGGGACTGTGAGCGGAGTAGCCTTCCTTTCCTGCAGGCCCCCGGCTCCTCATGAGACATGCTGCCCTGCAAGGGGGCAGGAGCCTCCTTGGCCCAAGGGAAGGAACTCTCAGGGAGTTCTGAATCAGAACTCAAAGTTCCTGGGGCCCCTCTATTGTTGGCCCCTTTGATTTGGACCCCAAAAGAATCACCACCTTTCTCCCCACTGTTGAGTACCACAAAGGGCTGCCCAGCAATGCCCTGCACACGCACAGCAACCCCATAGGTACTGGCTCTTGCACTCTTAGTTGGACGTTGCCCACTACGACGCAGGGTGCCCATCTCTGCATCACCCACTGGCTCTGTGATGAAGCGAATTTGGACTCCATGGTCTACAGGGCCCCAGGGCTCAGCCATGGTGGATGCCTGCTTCATGTGTGGGACAGGTCCTAGAAGATGAAGAAAAGAGACAGACCGAAGTAGAAACTCAGAAACCTTAACCTGCCCAACTTTTGTGTGGTTTATGGCCTTGTCTGTTCTTTCTGGTAGAACAGTAGTTTTCATACTTTATCTGAGCAGCAGAAGCACCCAAAGGGCCTTTTAAAGCACAGATTACCTGACCCTACCCCATTTTCTGATTTAGTAACTCTGGGGTGGGGCCTGAGAATTCACACTTTTAACAAGTTCCCAGGTAACGCTGATTCAGCTGATCATTCCACACTTTGAGATCTACTGACCTAGAAAAATCCATTTACTGATACAGTACTGGGGAACTTGGCTTTGTCAAGAGTTTAAAGATTTTGCTTGATCTTCACACATACCCATAAACCACCATGAGCCTCCACCCACCCCTGGAAGGCAGAACCCAAGCCTCCCTAACAGACACCTCCATCCCAAGGGAGAACAGGAGGCCTCTACTCCCGGATCTCGTTTAAAATACAGAAGATCGCCAAGGTTTGCCATCCCATTTCTGGGAGAATACTCAAGAAACTGATAGCAGTGATGCCTCTGGGTTAGGGGAACTGAGGGCTGAGGACAGAGATGGGAGAGTGACTGTCTTTCTACTGTATTTCTTTGAATTTGGAACCATGTAGATGTATTGCCTATTCAAGAGAAAACTTAATAACATTCTAAGGTTGCCAGTCCAAGCAGCCCCAGGACAGGCAGCTCTGTCCCACCTGAGGGCCAGAACCAAGGCCACCCACAGGCCAGCTCCCCAGATCAGAGCTAGCAGCTGGAATGTATGCCAGGTATACTCTGGCTCCAGGAACTCAGGGAGGAAAGGTTCTCTTCCAAGCAAATAAAAAATCCAGCTTTCCCACCCCTTCTGCTAATCTCCACCAGAGCCTAGCACCAGACTGGGAGAGGAGCCTCTGATGTGCCAGACAGAGACACAAACATACCCTTGTTCGACCTCCCAATGGAGCTCTGAGCCAAGGAAGCTTGGCAAGGCCCCTTTCAAGGGTTGTAGAAGTGCCAGGAAGCCCAGGAAATTGGGGTGAGAAGGGAATGGGGAAAGGGGCTGAGAACAGGTGAAACAGGTCTTGGTGAAGGAAACAGCCTCCTGTTGGAGCAAGAGCATTCCTAGCATTCCCAACCCTTCTCCTGAGAAAGGAACAGGGAGGGAGGAGCACAATGTTGAGACTCCATTCAAGAAAATGATGCAAGCAATGAACCCTCCGTTCAGGAGACAGCCCACCCAGACTTCCACAGAATCTGTTCACCCTGAACCAGAGGACCCTGTCCTTCCACTTAGGCATTGCATAGGACTTTAACCAACCTCTGACTGAGGTACTACAAACAGCAGGATATTTAGTTGGCAGGCTCCTGTGTTAGAATTGAAGTAAGCAATGGGAACAGAAAAGAAGTTAGTTACAAGGCAGAGGGGTAAGTTCTCTAAACCACTCATCTAGTAGAAAAGGCAGTGGACTAGAGTCAAGATCTGGTTTGGAATCCTAGCCCTGCTCTTCACTTGATTATATATAACCTTGGGCAAATCACGAATTTTCTGAGCCTCAGTTTTTAATCTGTAAAATCGGTATAATGATAATACCTCATGAGGTGATTACCTATGAGAATTTGACAATAACATGAGTGTAAACAACTGTAAAAATTCTACCAAGTTATGCACTTTAGATTGTTGCAATTTACTTAGGTTCCACTTTAATAAAAAGAGGGAAAATGACAAGACATTAAACGTGAACATACCTAAAAGCACATGCCTGTCACAAAGCTGACAACAAATGTTATCCTGCGCATACATTACTCCTTCAAAAAGAATTTCCTGGCTGCACCTGGTTCACAGAAGAATGTCACTTCTTCAGAGAAGCCTTCCCAACCACCATCTCCCACAAACTACATCAGAATCACGTTATGTGTTCTATAGTTGTCCTTCAGTGAATTTGCTTGTTTATTTTTATATATTTATGAGGGTGATGATTTGTTTCTTGTCTGTCTCTCCCACTAGATTATAAACTCCTGGAGGGCAAAGACCATGGCTCTCAGCTGACCTCTGTGTCCCCAGGGCCTGGCATATGGTAGATGTCGATAAATACTTGTTAAAAATTGTATCCTGAACCAAGGCAGACTACTACAGCAGAGGGGAGACAGGCCCCAGGATGCCTCACAGTCATTTCTCATTTGCCCTAGCAACAGGACCTCTTCCTGGCCTGCACTCCCTGCCCTACTCAGTCATAATTTTGGAACCAGATGTGCCTAGATTGCCAGCTCTCGGAAGTCACATGATTTATTCAAGATGCAGCCCTACCATGTCAGTACATCTACCAATCTGCCAGACCCAGGTCAAGGAGATCCCAGGGTAGGCTTAGCAGAGTACACAGACCCTCGCTCCACCCAAGAACAAGGCAGCATTAAGCACACACCCAGGTCCCAATGACTCCTTAGCCTCAATCACCTTCATTCCCAGGACATGTGGGTCAGGGGCCAGGAGGGCTGGAGAGATCTTTGGGGTGGGTCAGAAAGCAGGGCTTTAAATGATTCAACATGGTAAACCCGAAACCTACCTGCCTTCAGTTACAAGGCACAATGGGGCGGGGCCAGCGGAGCAGGGCAGCTCCAAGGACTTGAGTAAGCCCCAGGGGCAGGTAAACAGTACTTTAGCACCAGGCAACATAAGAGTCCAGAGGCTTAGCTCTCACCCGGTGCCTGGCCCTGCTTTTCCCTCCCCTGGTATGTACCCTGGTCACTCCTCCCCAACTGTACTCTGGTAAGGGACCAGGCCATAAGTTAATTCAGCTTCATCTGCCTGCCTCTGCCACTCCTGCCTGCAAGGAGGAGGACACTCTGCACCTGTGCCAGACAGCCACTTTCCCGAGTTATTCATTAGCCTGCCCTGCCCCAATTCCATCACCTCTGGCCTAGCCGTAAGCAGTTGGCTTCCAACTAGAAGTGGCAGGGTCTCTGGACTCAGGGAAGAAGTCAGGGTAGGGTGGTTTCTGTTGTGCAGAGGAAAAACTGATATCCAGCGGGTCCAGCAATATGCTCAATGCTATGTAATTGGCAGATTTAGAAAATGGGAGAATTAGAGATATCAAGATTAGTCTCCCCTCAGAAAGCAAATGGTCAAGATAGAAAGGACAGCTCAGTGACCTTAATCATTCAGCTCCCATTTTCTCATAAAGAGTTACAAAGATAAGAAGGTTCCCTGAGGATCCAAAAAGAAGCCCCCCCCCCCCAAGTGGACTCCTGGCTTGGTCCACTGAAAACACCGAAACCTGAGAGCCAGGCTAGAGCTGCTTGGCCGGTGGAGAAACAAACACAGTGAGGAACTGGGCCCCTGCAAACTGGCTGGACTGGTTTGAGAGCCAAGGGGAAGCGGGAAGGCCAAGGAGGCTACACTAGCAGCTTATAAAGCAGACCTGAGAAATTCCACACTATAGAGGAGGCAGGGGGCAAAACCATGGGCAGGGACTCTGTCCAACCTAGATGTCCAGGCCAATGCTCTGAAGGAAGCAGAAGGTGGAGAGGGAACAGATGCACAAAGAACCTGGTGAGTGACTGGCCAGTGTGTGACAGGAACTTGGTCTCCCTCTATCCCTCCCTCTCAAGTTCCCAAAGTTGCATTCCCAATCCCACATTTGTCTTCGTTGCCTCCCAAGCATGAAGAGAAGCAGTCTGCCCCCTTTCCACCTCCCACAGTGGCGATGGCAAGCAGGTCAGTCTGGGGAAAGCACAAAGGGTTCTAGGAAGCTAGAATCCTTTTAGGTTAGGCAAATCTCTGGGTAAGCAGTCCCTTACGGCCAGCCCCCAAAATACCAAATATCAAGGATGAAAGAAGAGGCACAGAGGCATGTGTAGGCAGACTGTCAACAATATAGTGGTTGCTAATTATTTCCTAATTACAACAACTTCCTTCAGGCAGGGCATCAAAGGGTCAGCTAAGGCTGGCTCTGGTTCCCTTACCTGCCTAAGGCAAGGAAATCTGCTCAGAAGTTTTTTCTGGGCCCCAGTGTGTGCCTCTCATCCAGCCTGGAGACTTGGAGGTGCTAACTCCCCTAGTCCTGTGGTCTCCTGAGGAGTCCTGCCTATTTCCTGCACCACTGGTGCCCGCTGCCTGTCAGCCATCATGATCCAGCAGTCAGGAGTGCCTGGTGGGGTTTCAGGGAGTAATAAGTATCTTCTGAGAGGCATCAGAGAAATTGGTTAGGCTCCCAAACCTCACCCAATGGCCCCATCTAGAACCACAGAAGGAAGTATGTGTGCTTGGGGGGAGGGTTTAGCCCCCAAAAAGAGGCCCTTTTACAAAGAAGTATTTCTACATGTTTTGTAGACCTAGGGATCTATGCTTCATCATGTCCCTCTCTTGGAGAGCACTCTCTCAAGAGGAAGAAGGAAAAATTCTCCTTGGCATGAAAGCAGAGGACACAAACTAAAAGCCTTAAAACATTTCACACCTAGTAAAGAAATGGGGGTGTCCTCTTGTTCTGCCCCTCAGTTTCTCTTATTTGCAACTGTCTTCAGCTGTAGGTGAATGGTTAGGGAAAGATTCCACACCTCAGAGCCATCTCAAAGCCAGAAGAAAGGTGTACAAGACAGTTCAGACTGGCAGACCCTGGCAAGAACCTCGCGGAAACAGTGCCTCTCCATGCCCTTCCCCCTATGTCTCCGAACCTCAGACAGTTCTCTTCGCCCACCTGAGACTAACCCCTTCCCCGCACCAACCAAGAAATTCTTGTCTCCAAGAGAAATTCTGCTCCTGGGACCGGAGGCTGACCTCCAGAGACATCCTGGCCCTGAAGCAGTTTCGTACCCTGGGAATAGTCTTAGAGCCCAGTACCCCTCACCTACTACCTTCCCCGGCACCTGCATCTGGCACCTTAGAATAGGAGCCAGCTCTCACTCGGTACTCCCACCCTTCCTTGACCTCCCCTGCTCCTCTCCCCAACTCAGCACCTGTACCCAGCAGTTGGGTATCTCTGACCGCCTGGACCTCCGACCCCAGGGCTACACCTGAGGGCCCGCTTGCCTCTGAGGTGCCCTAGCACTCGGGTCACTCACCCCAGCCAGGCTCGGCGCTCCGGGTTCGGGCTCGGGCTCGGGCTCGCGCTCCGGCAGGGCAGCACGCGCGGCGCCCGGGCCCTCCCACTCTGTCCGTCGGCGTCCCCCTTTCTTTCTCCCCCATCCAACCTGTTACTCCCCTCCGGAGCTCCACCCCCATTGGCCGCCCCATCCGCCCCGCCTTACCCTTCCTCCGGTTGGTCCGTTTCCCGCGAGGGGTGGGGCCGCCGCCGCAGGGACTCGGACCCGGAGTCGCCAACCGGTGGGCGGGAGGAGCGGTCACGTGGGCGGGCCGTGGAGCGCCGGGGACTGGGCGGCGGCGAGGGGTCCGGGAGGCCATCTTGGGTGCGGAGTGGTCTGCCGCCCGTGGCTGCTTCCCCCCTGAGTATCTTCCGGTCTCAGGTGTTCTCTGCGGGACCTGTGTCCAGACCCCCTTCTGTCCCTCACCTACTCCTCATAAACCGAATCACTCTTCTGTCGCTTTCTGCAGAAGATAGCTCCCGGTCCCCCGACGTCAGACCCTCCAGCACTTCACCTCGTCTCCCTCTTCCCCCACCTGATCCAGAACCCCAACCCTGGGTTCTCTTCCCCTATCACCCTGCCTCCACACATTTTCCAGCCTGGTACCTTTTTCTCCGTATTACTTACCACCTTCCAAATTATATCATTTTAAAAATATTAATCGTTTAGCTCTCGTCCTATGCTAAGCTCCACGAGGGAAAGGATCTCGTTTCGTTCGCTGCCATCCCAAACGCCTACAACAAGGACAGGCACATATTAGGGGCATAATAAATATTGGTTGAATGAATGGGAATGGGGGACATAATTTTACAATGAATAGAAATGCCCCTCATTCTAAACAGAAGGGGATTCAAGCCTCAACTGTAAATATAGGTTAGAGTTTAGCCTTTCAAGGACGGGGGAATTGAGCCGTCCCAGAAGAATAAAATCAGTGGTGTTCAACAATCTACAGGCACTCTGCTGAAACACTAGCTTTGTTAACCTTAAAGCTGGCTTCCTAGATTTTAACCATTGAGATATATTTTTAAAAGAGCCTGATTTAACTAACATTGCTAGACTCTGGATATTGTTCTCACTTATTTAATAAATACTGTGTATCTATTTAGGTTTGAAGAAGAACCTTAAACGCAGCTGACAATCTGGTCTTATCTAAAGCTCATTTCCTCCCCGACCCCAACTCGCGCAGTCCTTCGTCCTTCGTCCTTCGTCCTTCGGAAGGTAGATGTGGAGATCTGGAGGGTAAAGTCCACCTACATAGCCTTAGCTGGGATGCATTCCAAGGGAAGCTTTATGTAAGGATGAGAGTCATCAACCAGCCCGTGCCCTGGGGAGGGACAGCAGAGTAAGGTGCAGGGGTGGGGGTCCTAAGAGGAAGTGTCCCTCCTGGACCGAGTCATCTCCAGACCACTGGGGTGGTTCTTTAAACAGATTTTTTTGAAAGGTGAGATTGTTTAACTGACCCAAATATTGAAAATGTGGAAACGCCTAAACTCTCCTGGGTAACACCTTCACAATTAGGCTACTTAGTGTATTTGTAGTAAATACAAAGATAAGTTAATAAAGGAGACACCCCACCCCTGCACTCTGAACACAGATTACAAGGAAAAACCAGGAAGCCTCTGAGTCACAGTCATCGTCATCATCGTCACCTGTTCCTCAAGGAAGCACTCAGTCTCACAGGGACACTAGCATCTGGCACAGGCAGCAAAGGTGACACCAAGGTCTTTTCCAGAGTTTGTGGTCCTCTCCTGAAGAAATGTTGCAATTTGGCAAAATTAGCCAGTTTATAAATATGTCAAAGGTAAAATATTACAGCACATATACAGGAAGAAGAAATAAATTGCATTGATACATATTCAAGAGGATAATTTTATTTCCATGGAATGGTATAAAAGAGAAAGTTCTAGATAACTTGGAGGTTTCATCAAAGTGAATTTGGAGCTAAATTCCTGACCTACAATTTTTTCCTAAATTCATCAAGACTTTGACCATCACCACTAACAACTCTGCTATAACTGTTATCCAAAGATCACCTGTTAACCTGTGGCCAATACCTAAATGGAGCAGCAGGGAGGGCACACAGGAAAAGTAAAGATAAATAACTGAGAGGAGGTGATGTTATTGCAAGACTGAAAGGACAGGGGATATAAGGGATCTTGGGAGGATTTAGAAAAGAAAGAGTATAATAAAATAACTTTGGAACTTGCATGTTGGAGAATTAGGTAGGACACACACACACACACACACACACACACAATCTAGCCACACCTGGAAATGAAGCTTAGAAGAGAAATTAGGGATACAGACAGATCCAGAGATCATCCTTATATATGTAAACATTTGCAAGAGGACCAAAGAACAAATCTTGAGAAATATGGGACAGATGGGGAAAAAACAAAAACCAGTAATGGAGTATTTAGAGAAGTAGGTGAAAAAGTTCATGGAAGAGAGTTGTCTGAGCAGAAGAAACTGGAATTTGGCATTTAGAAGTTAGGGTTGATCTTCCAGATGTCAGTTTCAGCAGCGTCGTAAACCCTCAGCTCAGACTGCAATAAAAGTATATCAAGGGAATGGAAAAAGTTATCTTGACTTAAAGGAAAACAGGGTGAATGAAAAGAAAAGTTTTATGTTTGTTTTGTCTTGTTTTAGGAAGGAGAAACTTGGTTATATTTTTGGAATAAACCAGAAAAGTGAGCAAGATTCACAGATGAGAGAGAGAACAGAGAAAGCGTGGACCTAGAGGAGAAGGTCGAGTCTGGAGTTTAGATTGCAAGGCCGAGTGTGGAGTCAGGAGTCAAGGAAGGCAAGTCGGATAACTTCAATTCACCAGATTTCACCAGCTTTCTCAAGCCTTGTTTATGAGCACTTCATTTTTAAATAGCAGTAATAACATGTAATTATACTAATGCTTGGGGCTTTTCCTGGTAGAGTAAAATTTCTGTTATGAGTGTTGTTGGGAAATACAATTTTTTAAAAAAGGTCACTTTGTATACTTATTTGATATACTCTTCCAACTTTTGGGTTCGAGATCTCCAAGAATCCCCAAAAGATACTTCATTCTTTCTGACCCACGTCCTCTACTCTTTTGACAGAGATTTTAAGTGGACATCACTGAGGCAGAGAGCACTGAATCAGGAGTCAAGAAATCTGTATTCTCATTTTAATTTTGGGAAATACGTAATCATTGCCATGTATCCTAAAATCTCTAGGACTCAGTTTCCTCAGAGAAATTAAGAAAATAATCCCAGATTTCAGAATTACATTGTGTCCTTTGGGCTTCTTGGGGATAAAAAGTCATGTTCTGTCTTTCAGCTCCTCCTTTTATCATTATCTGGGAACAGGAGTTAAATGTAACCATGTCTGATAGTAACAAGGTAACGGGTATTTCAGGGACAAAGAATTCCAAGCAACCTTTTCAGCCAGGTCAGAGTCACTCACTGACAAGGGGAAGACTCATCACAAAGCTCCTCAAGTTGTTCCACACCCTTACCCTTTCTCATTCCAGCTGCCCCACCTCAAATGCTCTGAGCAACTAAATTACATTCATTAATGGTGACGTGGGTTCCACAATTCAGACATACCGGGTTAGGTGGAGGGAGGGCAGTGAACACATGGACAGTGGAGTTGGCTGGCTGTTGTTAAGTTGCACTGAGCCCTGCCAAGAGATAATGGAGAGCTGAGAGCAGTTACAAATTCTAAACATTAACTGTAAAGGCCAGAGAGCCTCTTTGATGGGTTACAAGAAAAGGCCCTTATCTACAACAGTGGAAGAACAAAAAAAGCTGAATACGAGACTCAGGGCTTAACAGAGTTCCAGGAGGCAGATCTCTGATCAAGGTGAGGGCCCTGGTTGGGAAAACTGGGGACCCTAACACATGAAATGGAAATACCTAGTGGTGCCCCCAAAGGTTTTGGCTCCCTACGGTCTTCTAAACCCTCAGAGCCTTAAGAGGGGGCCCACACCTCCCTATTAAAGCCGGCACTCTTCCCATGTGGGAAGACACTGCAGAGGCCTCTTGCCCTCAGATCTGCCTTGACCTCCTCTCCTGACTGCTAGGATCTTCATTAGGGTTAATTTACAGCAGACCCCAGTGAGAACATAGTCCTGATGAGGGAGAAAAGTACTATACCCACAAAGCAGTGGCAGGAACTAAAGAACATGTACTTGTAAGATTTGGGAATATCTGTGAGACTGGGCTTTGGTGGTGCTTAATCAAAGGGGCTGAAATACAAGACTGGATAAGAGAGGGTTTATTGACTGGAGCCTATGCTCTTGGGATAGAATTTAACTTCCTGATAAGGTCTTGCTCAAGTGGCTCTGAGAAACATAGAGGAAGTAATAACTTTTGCTGAGTGAAGTTTAACTGCCTGAATTGCCATGGCAATTGAGGAAAGAAAGGATTAAATTGCTCATGAAGTGAGTATGCTAAAGTCAATTATAAAAGGCCAGAAACCCTAACAAAAGATGTTCTATAGAAGGCCTTGAGGAACCCTGTTTACCAGGGCCAGCAGGAATGTGCTAGTGAGAGGAGTGCCAGCATCACTATGACGCTTGGTGGCAGCTTTCTTCTGCAAGCCAGAGCTAACGGGGTGCTGTCACAGCTTGGCTCTTTTGTAGCAAAAGGGGTAATGGGGATCCCAAAGCAGTAGAGGCCAAGGGGCAGCACTTCAACTGAACTGCCAGAAGCCTGGGGGTGACAATTATTCTGACTGACAAGGTCAGAGTGACAGGCCAGGGAACTTGACACATGAGTTGTAAAGGTGGTTAACAGAACATGGCATCCCTAGGGGCAAAATAATGGGCAGTCAAAGCAAGGGTATTGCTGAATACATGTAATCAAAAGAAAGCAAAACTAGATGAGCAAGAACCCAAGGATGGGGCTCCCAGTAAAACATCATGATCCCTTATCTAGTTCCCCAAACTGAGTCAGTTTTCACACAGAAATTCACTTATTAAGAGGTGGCCAGTCACCAAGACTGGCAATGCCATAATAAGTATATGCAGTAATGACTCCCCAGTCCTTCCAGAAAGGAACTTATGACTATTTACTTAGGTTGACTCTAAGTAGAGAGGGAGATGGTAAAAGCAGTGTTGGACACAAGATCTGAGTTGCACTTGACACTGAGAAACCCAAGGTGTGATCCTCACCCCCCTATTGGAGCAAGAGCTCATGAGAGTCAGGTAATTATAAATAAAGTCCTGCCCCAAATCCAGCTTACAGTATTTCTACCCCCATCTAGTCAGAAGCAATCTAAACTGTTTGGACATCCTGCAGAACATCCTTTTGATCCATTACATTCATGTCATGCAGATCAGTCAGGATGACCAACAGTAGGTAGCATACTATAAGCCTTGGTAAGTCACTTGTGCTCTTGAGTGTAGAATATAATCCCTACAATCATCAGGGGCCTAATGACGGAGGGGCTCAAGATGGCGACATGAGTAGGGCAGCAGAAATCTCCTCCCAAAACCATATACATTTTTAAAAATACAACAAATACAACTATTCCTAGAGGAGAGACCAGAAGATACAGTACAACAGCCAGGCTACATCTACATCTGCGAGAACTCAGCATCTCACGAAAAGGGTAAGATACAAAGCCGTGATCTGGTGGAACCCGAGCACTCCCCCAACCCCAGCTCACCCATGGGAGGAAAAGAATCAAAGTCAGAAGGGAGTGGAAGCACAGGACAGCTGAATAACCAGCCCTAGAAATCTGCACTGGGAGCACAGACACACATTGCATGGTGTACTGGATATTAGAGAAATGGAAAAGATAAGTCCTAGATGTAGACTGCGAGAAGGTCCCCATAGCTGGCTTCCCTGGGACAAAAGAAAAGCAGGCACTTTTTAAAAGTGTTAAAGGAACAAGGGCTTAACAGCTGGACAAAATCATTCCGGCACACTCAGCCCAGCAGGCTGGGAATCTTAAGGAACTTCAGGTGCCTTAACCCCCTGGGGGATAATGCATCCCCGAAGCCCCTCATGGCAATAAGCAGCCTGACATTCATTCCCTCCAGCCAGTGCTGCAAGCAAACCAGCTGACCCACAACAGCTGTGGAGCAGCCAAGAAAAGCTCCACCCACAGAAGCTACACAGAGTCTTCTCCTACCGCGCAGCTAACTGGGACAGACCCAGAGGCTGCTGCCCATGCCCAGCTGCCCAGCACAGACAGAGGAAGCTGGAGCAAGGTCTGGAAGGCATGAAGGGGCACCACTCTCACAGGAGAACACAGCCGACACATCTGCAACCCCCCATGGGGCTCTAGACTATCCCAAGAGCCACCCTGCCCATGGCAGGTCAGGAGATTATCCCAGAGACAGCTCCCAGTGTGTGGGTAATGGGCACAGGCAGCAGAGAACGGCAAGGTAACCAGCAAGCAAGGAGGGACTTTGTTTTTCCAGCTGACACACACGCTACTTGCCTGTGCCTACTTCTATCACCATGAAAAGGCAGAAGAATCTGGTCCAGTCAAAAATCACTCAGACAACCCCAGAGAGAGGGCCTGGTGAGATAGATATAACCAATCTTCCTGAAAAAGAATTCAAAATAAAAGTCATAACCATGCTGACGGACCTGCAGAGAAATATGCAATAGCTAAGGGATGAAGTCCAGAGGGAAATAACAGAAATGAAACAATCAATAGAAGGTCTTAAGAGCAGACTGGATGAGGTGCAAGAGACTGTTAATAGAATAGAAATCAGAGAACAGGAATGCAGAGAAGCTGAGGCACAGAGAGATAAAAGGATCTCTAGGAGTGTGAAAGAATATTAAGAGAACTGTATGACCAATCCAAAAGGAACAGTATCCGCATGATAGGGGTACCAGAAGAAGAAGAGAGAGAAAAAGGGATAGAAAGTGTCTTTGAAGAATTACTTCCTGAAAACTTCCCCAATCTGGGGAAGGAAACAGTCTCTCAGACCATGGAAGCCCACAGACCTCCCAACAGAAGGTACCCAAGGAGGACAACACCAAGACATATAATAATTAAAATGGCAAAGACCAAAGACAAGGACAGAGTATTAAAGGCAGCCAGAGAGAGAAAAAGATCACCTACAAAGGAAAACCCATCAGGCTATCATCAGACTTCTCAAGAGAAACCTTACAGGCCAGAAGAGAATGGCATGGTATATTTCATGCAATGAAACAGAAGGGCCTTGAACCAAGAATACTGTATCCAGCAAGATTACCATTTAAATTTGAAGGAGGGATTAAACTATCCAGACAAGCAAAAGTTGAGGGAATTCGCCTCCCACAAACCACCCCTACAGGATACTTTAAAGGAACTGCTCTAGATGGAAGCACTCCTAAGGCTAAATAGCTGTCACCAGAGGAAATGAAATCACACCAAAGAAACCAGACCAACCAAATACTAACTAAAGGCAAAAAATAAAATAAACTATCCAGAAAACCAGTCAGAAGAAACACAAAAGAGTACAGAATAAAACACCTAACATATAAAGAATGGAGGAGGAAGAATAAGAAGGGAGAGAAATAAAGAATCATCAGACTGTGTTTATAATAGCTTAATAAGAGAGTTAAGTTAGATGGTTAGATAGTAAAGAAGATACCCTTGAAACTTTGGTAAGGATGAATCCAAAGCCTGCAATGACAGTAAGTACATATCTGTCGATAATCACCCTAAATGTAAATGGACTGAATGCACCAATCAAAAGACACAGAGTAATAGAATGGATAAAAAAGCAAGACCTATCTATACACTGCTTACAAGACACTCACCTGAAACCCAAATACATACACAGTGAAGGGATGGAAAAAGATATTTCATGCAAACAATAGGGAGAAAAAAGCAGGTATTGCAGTATTTGTATCAGACAAAATAGATTTCAAAACACAGAAAGTAACAAGAGATAAAGAAGGACATTACATAATGATAAACGGGGCA